TTCTTAGCTTTGCATTTTTCAAAATACAAATTAAAATCTTATTGAAGTGCCATTCATAGCACCTCAGATAGAAGCAACTCCCTAGTAATTGCTATATTGTTGGCTTTCAGTGGCAGGCAGAAAAATTATATGCATTTTTACACTAAAAGGTTCACTTTATTCACAGAGTAAGAAAATTTGATCTTGCTAAAATGCATGGCCAAACTGCCAGCCTTTGTTTAAAAGGCACAAGTCTGAAACCATTTTTATCCTCCAAGGATTCAGCGTGAAAGAATATACAGCTTGCTGTCTTACACACCAACCTGCCCGTGCCACACAAGTACTTGAGATTCCCCAAAGAACAGCCTGAATCCTGACTTGTCATTCCTTGCGTTCAGGAAGTTGAGAAGTAAATTGCACTGCCAGGTCACCAATGGAAATGCACATATCAAGAGAACTGTGGAGGCCAGGTGGTAGGGGCACAGTAGAGGGGTAACAGAGAAGAAATATGCTACATCTTCAGAAAGTGGGTGAGAGTCTCCTTAGTTTCTCCTCACCCTTGTATGAAACCTGATAGGCTTCTAACAAGCCAAACACCTCCGGCCACTGGCACAAAGCATCTCATTTCTCATCTTTTTAGGGATGATTCAGTTCCCATTACAGTCCACGGAAGGGCTCCCATCAACTCTAATGGGCACTGGATTATACTCTGATGCACATGCGCTCAAAAGATTTCACAGCACAATACTAGATGCATAACCACCACACCAGGTGGTTGGCAATCATCTAGGTCTCCAACACTTCAGAAGAATGTTTACAGCAACAACATTTTTACTATATCTTTTATTACATCAATGGCTTGAAAAATTTTATTTGATGTCAGCAAACATTGGAAATCATAGAAAAATGAATTATGTAGAATTTCACAAATGAATTTAACCCTCACTATAATTCTTCTTACAGTAAAATGATAATTCAAAAACAAAATGTTACTTTTCAGTGGCTAAGCAATTTCATAATGCTATGAACATTCATCACAGTAAGTGTGCTGAATAATAGAAAACAGGCAAAAAAGACATTAAAATATTACTTACAACAGCATTATTACAACATACTTTCTTTAAAATCCCAACAAGTATTTTATCACTTCAAAAGCTATACAGCATTTCCATTATATTTGCAAACTTAACCTTATACATCTTTTAAAATCTTGAAAAACCTCTTTTAAGCAATCTATAAGCAGTTAACAAAATTGATAAAATCTACATAATGGAATACTATACACTCCAGTATAAATTTAATTTTAGGAGAATATGAATGTAAACACTCATTATTATACAACATGCATAGACTATACTGACCTTCCATCTTCTGAACTGTAACTTTCACTGCAATTGTGCTTTACTATCAACAGAAAAAGCTGCATTAATCCAGGGAGTGGCAGAAAAAAGTTATTTGTTTTAGGGCATTGCACAAGATCACTAGATTTTGGACTTGCTAAAGACAAGCTGGCGCTAAGAAAATGCAATTTTTCTTTTTAAAAAAGTGTGATAAGCTGCTCATTTTTAATGTGGACTGTTTCATCTCACACAGGTGTTTTTTTTAAGTGTGTGTCACCAAAAGCAACCTCTCTCAAAACACTTTTGCAGTACACGATTTTAAAGATTTTTCAAAGTCCTTACATTGAACAAATCCAGTGATCAAGTTAGTGTAATGCACTGTTTGGCTCATATTTGGTGTGCAAGAATACCAGAGATTTAGGAAAATATGACAAAACAAAAAAGGGCACAGTTTAAATTTAAAGTGACAATGAGCATATTTTAATAAGAAATGTTTCAGAATGGTTTGTACAAGAATAATATTTGTCAGGAAATCACTTTAAGAGAAAGAGTTTCACTCTTTTTAGCTATAAAAAAATGCTTTTTAGCCAACAAATTAAGGGGTCTTCCTGGTTGCAAACTTGTAAAAATACATTAAGAATCAGTTATCTCCATTGGTATTATATTAAATATAACAAGACGCAGCCACTTTGGCTGCATAACAGCTATGGCTACTGTGGTCTTAAGCATCTGATTGTACGTTGTTGCTATAATATTAAGCACAACTGAGGCATGTATTTTTCCCTTGGTTATAAGATTATATTACAAAAATCATCACTGTGTTTCAGACCAGTTAAAACACGAATATTCAAGTAACAAGGTGTTTTAATGGATAAGCGAAAGACTTACCTAGTACTTTACACAACTACATAAAAATTAAATAGAACAAAGGTAATTTGTTTATGCATATGCAATACACTTTTATATCTTTAAGATTTCTACAACTAAAAGTTAAACTATCATTTGTTTTACTGATACCATATTTTGCACAATAACTTATACTTAGGAGAAATAATTTCCCATTTTCCACAAAATATATATAATTATGACATTCACATTGATAGTTTAAGAAAACAAAATTTAAGTGACTCTTATGTTATGCATTAAATCTTTGTGGACCCGTCCAATCAGAATGCAACCAGTAGATGTATCTAAAGCTTGATCCATTAAGAGAGAAAAAGGGTCTTCACGTAAGCAAGACCCAACCATTTACTTTCCAAAGCCAAAAGGATTTCTTGCATTTAAAAACATAATCATTAAGAGAATGTAAAGGAACCAACAAAGTTAAAAATACAGTGCTATAATATTGTACGGATAAGACTACAATAAGACAGCAGTCAACTGAAAAGGAATTAAGACAACTTTTTTCTTCCCAGCATCATACAAATTGTACAGACTGTTTTCCCTTGGGGATGAAGCCAAAACAGAACTTTTCTGACTGTAGGTTTACCACATTTGGGTAAAGGGATGTAGGAGGATGAAAGGGTCAGACCACTCGAACAGAAGATATTAAGGCAGGTCTGCAATACACACACTGGTTAGGGCTGTGATTTTTTAATGGCATTTCTATGCTGGCAAAAGTCCTAGTGTCAGTGCAGTCCTGCCAGCATGAAGGTGCTGTTATTGGCTGAGCTGCTCTTGTTGTTAGAGGAACTGATTTAAGCCACCTCTGCAGAGAGGATGTTTCTACTGAAACAAGCCACATATCCACTGAGGTAATGCCCGCAACAGCCCTGCTGATACACCTGTGTTAGCCTAGATTAGGCCTGACCCTCCACACCCCGTCACTGCAAGGCTGCTAGCTGCATTTATGCAGTGGCAGATCTGACTGAGCTTTTTTCCAACCTGGGCAGGACAGGGACCTCCCCCGACTTGCTGCCTATGCATTTAGACCAAAGCCTGCAGCTTCTCCAAAAGCACAGAGGGTTTGCATGGGCCCCAGAGGTTGTGCTGCCACAAAGATGACGTTGCTCAGTGGATGCAGAGGAAGGGGAGCAAAGCAAGGAAGGGGAGATACTTTTTGCTACTGACCTCAGCCTCCGAGAGCTGCCTCAGTAGCACTGCTCGGAGAAGACTGCAGAGACACTCCAACATGCACGATTTCTGGGCTCACCTTTGCAGTGCTTGACTAGGCTCACATGCTTCTTCAACTCTGCCTCCCTCCGTCTGCCAAGAGCATAAGCAGTCATGTTCTTCCAAGCAGCCTCCATGGGAGGCACTGACAAGATGTTGGTGACAGCAAGTGTTGCAAGCTTCTCTCCCATTTCCAGAGTTGGGACTGCAGCTCATGCAGATACCCTCTGGCCAGCCTGAAACTAGCTGCCTGGGTAGTGACAGCAGCACCTGTGTGTAGCAGCATAACACACAGTATGGGCAAGTTGCTGGTGCGTTTATACAGGATCCTGGGGCAGATCTGTAGCCTGGGCCAAGCTCTGTACTGCCCTGCCAACACTTATTGGTACTCAGATGAGGTAAATTAGCTAGCCCCTGTGTGTTTTCCATGAGCTGCAGTCACGCCTTTGCACTGTAGTCCAGGTATGTCCTTTGGCCTTTATTACATGAGAAATGTGCCTTGGTTTAAATTAAACAGGTTTCTAAGACCAAATTAAGCCAGAACTAAAAGGCTGTGGAGTTGCTGTTGTGGTGGTTTACTTCAAGCTTGCTCCTGACTGATGGAAGCGAAACCAAAATATTTCTCTCTCAAGGCAAATACAGTGCCAATACAGCTCTTTGTACCAGTTTCACTGTGGGTATGGGCACATGAGCAGGTTCCCAGGAGGTCGGCAAGGATGTGATCTTAAAAGTACACCAGCTGGTCTGCATTAGCTGCCCATGTGCATGCTCCCCCACATCACCTAGTGAATACAAGGTAGTTTGCTCCTCAGTGGAAAGAGGAGCAGCTACCTTGCATTTACCTGGGACAGGAACAAGCCCATGGGTGGATACCATGGGACAGTGGTCAGATAGATGGCAAGTCCACAAACCTAACCTGTAGAAACTTGGTCACATGCCCATATCCTGGATCACCTTAAAAATCAATCCTGTGAACTGGTGCCACTTTCTTGTTCAGACAAAGTCTCACATAAGAGGGAGGAGTAGACCAAGACACCCCCTGGACCAAGACAGGTCAAACTTCTCCAGTTCATTGTTCCAGCTTCTCTATAGTCACCTGTGACATCTTGCTAAACTGGAGGGAGAAGGATGAGCAGATGATCTAGTCAGACTCAATACCCATCAAAACAAGGATTTCCCTGAAGCACAGGTTGTGGGACAACTAAAGTAGCAGTTGAACGCACCTGTGAAAGAGCTGAGGCCCAGGAGGCAGTGGGCATGCCCATCAGAGCTGTGCAACAGGACAACCACAGCTTAAAGCCCAGTGATGAAGGTTCAGCTATATGTCTTGAGTGTCTGTACTGGGAAAAGCTATTTTTGTACACAGGGAGTGTGGTACGAGTCAAGCCTAAGATGGGCAGCAAGAAGGCACAAGCACAGCCCTACCAGGTGCTGCTATTAAAAAGGAACTGATGACACATACTGGGTGAGCGAGTCCTAACCATGAAATCTTGGTGGACAATTACTTAAAAACAAACAAACAAAAAAAACCCGAAAAAGCTGAAATTATTATTATTATTATTATTATTATTTTTTTTAAAGATAAACCAGGAAAGCAGCCTCAAAGATTCTGGCCTAGCACACCACTATGTCCTGGATGAATGCAAACCATAGCTAACAGAAGACTCGTATCTGCCTTTGAAGCTGTGAAGGAAAAGGTTACATGCTATCTCCTTCCATTTCTCCCAGCAGTATTAAGCTAACCATTCTACAATGCTTTGTGACTAGTGTTACTGTCCCACCTTGCCCTGGGCAAAAAGGTATTGCTACATCTTTTTTTGTTGCCCCTGTGCAAGGGGCTGAGCAGTAAAACACTCTGCTCAGAGCATGAGGCTGTTTCTTTCTCTTCTCCCCAGTATTGGTTTATTCCCTGAGACAGAGCTTCAGAGAACAGCTCCCATTCAACCCATGTGTTGGCTCCCCACCAGGACCAAAAGCGTGGCTCTTAGGAGCAGATTACTAGCAGATTCTGAATCTGTGCATCCTGAAGATTTGCATATTTTGGTTCAGAAAATGAAAGTGAGCTGTGCTTTAGAAGGACTGAAATCAGCTTCCAATGAGAGTCATTGCAAAGTCAACTGTATTTTCTGTACTTTTTTTTTTTGTTTTGGATTAACCGCATTGTCACTTTAGCTGGAAAGGAGGTAAGACTGAAAGAAAGGAGAACAACAGAAGCTAGTAAGATGGTCCTGCTTCTCCCCTTCATTGCAGCACTCCACAACTGAAATCTAGAGCTCAGGACTCCATATTGTACTCCAGTCCCCATATACCCTCCTGCCAAGAAAAGTGACTTGGTGTCTTTGCTTAGTACAGTGCCTCAAAGAAGAACAAGACATTGGAACAGAAAGTGATCTTATGGTAGCCAGATGTAAAAAGGCACATATTCCTGAGAGGAGCAGCACCAGAGAAAGTTGTTTTGACTTAATCCCATGGAGAAAAAAAAAAAAAAAATCAGGAAAAATAAAAGTTGTGTAGCAGTCTTGTAAATTCACAATGCAAATGCTGAATGCCATGGGTTATACATTGTATCAAACTGTTTCAGGTTATGTATTCCCTTTTACACTAAATAAAAGCCATTAAAATATACAGGAATAAATGCTTAACCCCTTAGTGAGCCTTCTATGAAGGAAAAGCACACTTACACAGCAGAAAGTACTGTACAAACCAGCAGCATAATGAGTTACTATGTCCAACCTCAGACAGGCCCAACCTCTGAAATAACCTTCCCCAACCACTTTGCATTGCTCAAATCAGTTGCTAACATGCCCTGTAATTTCAGGGTGAATAGGATGCTACTGGCAGGTGCACATGACTCTTCTCTATAGAAGGCTCACTAATAATAGTGTCATCATAAGAATAATGATTACATTACACAGAAAGCAGAGATCACAAGGCCATGCAGCAATATGTACTTATACCCTATGGAGAAGACCAAGTATTATATAGAACTCCTACAGCATAGAGTTACTGTGGGGTGCTAAGAGAGGAGCTTCTTGCTCTGTGGGCTGGTCAAAATTTACAGACAGGTGGTACTGATTCTAGGAGTCCCCGTGCATAAGCAGGACGTCGATGAAATGGAGGGCTACCTGGGAGCTTTGAAACAAAGTGGAGGCAGTATGGAAAAATGCAGGAAAAATTAAGGCAAATGTAGCACAGGACTGGAAGCGTTTGCCTTTTTTTTTTCTTTTTTCTTTTTTTGGTAATAGCTGCTTGTCCACAGATATGATGCAGATGGCTGTCTGAGGTTTGCTAATACCTGATATCCTGGATAACACAGTAGTCAACACAAATTGTTCTAGGCCACCACAGCTTCTCATGAAGCAGATGCATATCTGACATCAAGCACCGAAGTAGCCTGGAGAGAAAGAGAAAGGGATTTCAACTTAAAGGTCCATGCGCACACACAGCACATATCTAGAACACTGACAGCAAAACAAAGCAAGCAGCCAGGCAATTCTGGCATACGGTAAGGAGTCAGCAGCTTCCCAGTTCTGAGACTTAATGGGATTTGTCAGCAGATTGTAAACACATAGAACACTAAGCTCGGCATCATGATGGCCTCAGCATCAGTAACTAACCCAAAAACATGAGGGCGGCTGTTCTCCTTGAAAACATGATCCCAGGGAAAGCCCTGGAAGTCAGAGCACTGTGAGACCTATAAGGAAGGGATAATAGGTGGGAAACAGGAATCTACTAGGCAGGTATGCAGAACAGGCAGACAGGCATGACTGAAGGGATGTGGGCAAAGGTAGATGGGGTCTGAACAAGGCCAACTGAACCTTCTTTTGGGCACTACAGGCTGGACCTGGAGGCCAGGGCCATGGGGCATAACTATGAACTACTGTATGGGAGGGACAAAGCCCATGCTTGAAAGCATGACAATTGACCCCTCTGAGGTTAACCCACAAAGCTGTACAAGACAGACAGTAAAATGCTCCAGGTCTTTTTCAGACTGAACTCAGGCACAAGTTCAGAGGATTCAGATTCAATTGCCTCTGAAGGCAGGAAACACCACTGACTCAATGTTTTGTGAAGCAACATTTCTGGCTAATGTTTGGGGAGTTTATGGGCCACAAGTTTCATTGTGCGACACCCTTGGCTCCCTTCCCCTTCTACTGAGGCATGTCGTAAAAAGCAGTTTTCTAAACCCTCTCCAGAAGGTCAGCACTTCCTCCCCTCCAGTCTGACACAGGCAGGCTAGGTTGGCAAGCAAGTAGCAAGGTCAGGCACCAAAAAGCAGGAAGAAAATGGAGTCCAAAGCCAGTGTGTGGTTTCCTGCTGCCCCTATCACTTCCCTTTTACTTCAGAAAATACAATGAGTATCCCAAACTAATTTGCATTGGGCTTGTGGCCAGTTATGGAGTGCCAGCACAGGAATGTGCTTTCCATGTTGAACCAAGCAGAAGGGTCTCATTTTTTAAAATAAGCCCTTTGGGGCCCAACGTACCACTTGAACAGTATGTCAACACCTGTTCCCCAGAAATGGCTTCATTAAGCACTACAACCTGCCCTTATGAAAGCAAGACATGCATCTACTGTTCAGTTGTTTCTGTTCCCCCACCTCCTCTCACGCACTTGTCCCACCACGTTATCCCTGCTGCTGACAGGGTTGGCTACATGGCAAGTCCTTTTGGTCAACGAGCTACACAGAACCTAGCACAAACCAAGCTGCTCCTGGTTTTTACTGTATCTCATAATCAGAAACCAATCCTTTCTTGGGAGTCATTCTCCTCAGTGGCTGCCTCCCACCTTCCTCTCCTGGCTTCAAATGGGCTCTGTGACAACTCCCTTAGTCCCCTTCCTGCCTGACACACCTCCCATGACATGTTCAATCCTTCCTCTGTCAGCTCCAACCTCTCTCCACACATCCCCTTCCAATTCTTCCTCACTAGCTGGGGAGTGGAAAGCGGCAGGCAACATCATGCTGATCCACTCAACCCTCTTAAAAGTGAGCAGGAAGCCACTGCTTAACACAGTCATTCTCCCTGCCACCTCACACCACCCCACTTCTGGGTTTCAGATGGTCATCACCATCACTAGCTCTGGGCTGCCATTTCATGTCCCCCCTTAGCAAGCGACAGCCAGGAGCTCCGGGTCAGCTCATGTTCCACTTCCTGCTGCATCTAACTCATTTCCAGTCTCTAGTGAGACAATGGGATTTTGTCTTTTAAAGTTAGCTAAGAAAGGGCAAGAGGAGGAAAGGTGCTTGAAGCCCGGATGACTCCCTGAGGGCTAAGGAAAAAAAGGGTTCAACAGTCAGCACCTCAGCCTCGATCCAGTATGGAAATGCCACTGCCATTCAAAAGGTAAACTGCAGACACACTGCACCTGACACATTAGAGCTGGAGCAAAGGAACAACAGCTGTATGGGGGAAGAGAGTTAAGTTACCCAGAAGAATGGTCTTCAAAAACTCTGGATATTTGCATTTTTGGACACCAATTAATTCATTCAAAAGGCATCTCTAAATGCCCAGAAGAGTAACTAAGACTGAAATAACAGCAAAGCAGTATTTGCTAGGGGGCTAAAGTGAGCATTTGGTACGGCAAAGAAAAGTCACTCAAGCACAGTAAGAGCAGCAGCAACAAATAGGATATGCAAGGACAACAGGCAGAGAGATCTGCATACAGGGAGGGCTTGAGTTCACCAGGAACCATCATGGCCATTAGTTACATGCACATCCTAGGACAGGATTCAATTATTTATGCCAAGTTCTCTGGTCAGACCTAGCCAAGGGACACCATAGAGTCCGGAAAGTTGTGTGTCAATTCCAGCTTTGATTTTCCTAGTTCAGAACTGAGTTTATATATAATCGTCCAAATGACTGGTTTTATTGCATTCATGTATAACAAAATAGAACAGGTTGGTTGAATGCTGTGAAAAATAGCCACCGCTATTTAGGAATTAGTTTATACATCTGAACTTTGCCTTCAAGCTGGAAAACGTGAGCTGCTTTTAAAGTCAAAGATTTACCTCATCTTCCTCTTCTGACATTTTAGTGGAGTTGTCAGGGGATTTTACAGGCTTCTGGTTATTGGTTCCATTTGTCTCATCTTTGCCATGCTCTGCTTCCCACTCCTGTAGAACTTCATCTATGTTGAAACGACGCCGGTAATTTACAAAAAAGTTTTTCACTTGCACCACAGATTTGTTTCCAATCACATCGGAGATTGCCTGAAAGTCTCGGCCATATTTCCTAATTGCTGAAAACAATAAAAGGAGGATTGCATAAGGCACACAATGACAACAGTATGGACCCGAGCCCAAGGTGAGAACCCAAAAGTGAACTTCCAAGCAAGCTAAGGGTCTATCTCTGATAATACCACCAGGAACAAAGGCACAAAGTTGGGAGTGGGAAAGACTGTTGAGAGCAGGTTAAGAAAAAAAGCAGGGAGTGAAGGCAGAAACAGGACAGAGTTGTACACAGATGAGTTGTATAGGCTCAGAAGCTAGGAAGCATCAAACCCCTGCAATGCTCTGTAAGTTACATATACAAGGAGTTTGGCAGCGACAGCTGCAGAGCATCATCATGTAAACGCTGGTGAATGACTTCTGTTTGCCCAAATGAACATTGCAAGCTTTATGTCACAGAGGAATAGATTTTTTCAGTCATTCTGCCTTTGGCAACAAGATATAAATCAACACCAGTCTTCAATAGCCACTGAAGGAAAATCCACCCCCCATGAAATACCATAAGGGGTTTAACTGTTCACCCGCTGATGTACGAATGGACATCTAGTTTCATACCTTGCACAGCAAGAAGCTGCTCGTCGGTGGTCCAACGTGCATTAAATTTCTGAACGACCTAGATGTCATAAAAAATTAAGTGATTCATTTACCTAAACAATGGACTTTCACTCACATCTGAGCTGGCAGTCTTGTACAAATGCAATAAGGAACTAATTGCTAGACCCAAACAATACCTTCCTTTCAGTCAAAAACACTGTACTACAGTAAGCAATATGTCAATGTATTGGTGCTGCGTTGCTCCTAGGTAACTGTTATGCTATGGAGTGCCATTTTGACTACATGGTACAGAAAGCATTCCCGCAGAAAGTGTTGTGGATAAGCAGCTATTGCTGCAAACAAGTAATCAGCTGTACTCCTTTTAGCAGTATGGGAAATCCATTCAGTTAACTGTAAAAAGGAACCAAATTTTACTGTTAAACAAGAACGAGGCTTGGTCCAGTGGCCTGTACACACAATGGACAGCCAGGAACTCTTCTGTCCTACTCAGTGGTTCTGACCATCAGCTCCCTCCACTGGCCCTGTCAAGTTACTTATGACTGAATTACCACAGGTGCCAAGAACCAAAAATTCTATGGTCCTATGAATTTTGAGGGAGACCAACAGCAGCTCTGAGCACCCAGACAGTCAGGCCATTAATGTCTTTGCTCAGTCTCCCACAATGGGCTAACTGCCCTTTCAGAAGAGCGTTATGACAGCACCATGAAAGGAATACATGACAGGTGCAAAGCACCATCAGCAGTTTAAGTGCTGACATTGGGAACAAATTTACTACCCACCCAATAAAGGGTACAATCATCTCTTCTATCCACCCCTCTTCCAAAAACCAAACAAACATCCCATGGGTTCCTAGGTTAACTAACAGCAGGGAGAGCTCTAAAATTCAAATATGGAGTAAAACTGGTTATTAGGAAATAGACACACAAATGTACCCACACGGCTGTATGTGGAACCGACATCCAAGCCTACCTCTGGAAGCCTGTATTGGTCTATTCCGCCTTCAAGTTTCTCTTTGAGGGCACTATTTGTCTGCTTGATATTCTGAATCTGGGGGAGAAAAAGAAATTACTCTCCTTAATGAAGATAAAAATGGTTTCAACCCACCCTGTTCCAGCAGCTGCTGCAAATACTGTACAGGCTCAGAACTGCACCTCTCCCTGCATTCTCTATCTTCCTGAAGATTTATCACTTGTATCATTAACAAAGACAAACACCGGGGGAGGTTCCTATACCTAAAGAGACTATTTTATTTTGACCCTATGCATTCTGGAAAAGCAACAGACCAAATCCCATGTTTCTCCAAACAAAACAGGGCCCTGTTCTCAGTAAGTGATGACTCAAACCTGAAGACTACAGTTCTCATGAAAGTCCGTGAGAAGCTGACAGAGGTTCAGCCCAAAGCAGAACTTCTATCAAGTTTAGAGAAGGGGACCACACACTCAAATTGCAAATGCAGGCAAAAGGACTAAACCTGGGAAGTGACTTACTTGGTTCTGACAGGGAAAGAAGAATGTCAAGAGACATTTGCAGTTGGGTAGTTTAAGGGCAATCCTAGGCATGCAAGGGAAGCTTAAACAATACATGTCTGTCATAGCACAGCAGAATATCAACTTAAAAAAAATGAGCTTAAAACAACACAAAAGATTGAGAGAATTATCCTGGCTCATGTCCGCGAGGGACAGCAGGGGAGATTATGCTTAGGGGCAACCAGCATGGGTTCATTAGAAGCAGGTCCTGTCAGACCAACCCTGTGGCCTTCTATTGCCAGGTCACAAAATCCTTGGACGCGGTGTCGCGCTGGACATGGTCTTTCTGGACTTTAGGAAGGCCTTCGAAACAGTCTCTCACCCCATTCTCATTAAAAAACTAGAGACTGTGGCATCGATACCTACACAGTCAGATGGGTCACTAATTGGCTGGAGGGCTGCACCCAGGGAGTGGTGGTGTACAGGTCTTATTTGACCTGGAGGGATGTGGGCAGTGGGGTCCCCCAGGGCTCAATCCTCAGGCCTGCACTGTTCAACTTCTTCATCAGTGACTTGGATGAGGGAGTAAAAAGCACCCGGTTCAAATTCGCAGATGACACTAAGATGTGGGGAGAAGTGGCACACGAGAAGGGAGGAATAGGCTGCAATTGGACCTGGACAAGTTACAGGGGTGGGCAGATGAGAACAGGATGGGATTCAATACTGACAAGTGCAGGGTACTGCACCTGGG